AAGTAAGCGGAAGAGAGTTCCTCTGTCGAGAAGTGCAAGTAAAGAAACTCTTGGAGTAGAAGTAGCGCTTACATATAACTATTTCAACAGTAAAAGGTTGGGACCTATCTAGTATGTCAATACATCTGGTATTATTATAATTATTGTTGCTAATATTATTAATATTCACATCTTATAATGTTCTTTGCTGGTAAGAAAAATAGTTTATTTGCCGATCACATCTCTTGACTTAAGATGATAAAATGATGTTTTTCTCTTCCATGATATCTTGTATCCAATATTTTCTAATGTAGCGTAGGCGATCATGGGTCTCTTTTCATGGTATTCGTAGCTCTTAATAGATTTTCCCCCTTTCTGTTATTCCTCCTAAACTGTGTTCCGCCAACCATTCAGTCTAGCTCACTAAGTAGGCTATGCGATGTTTTCCTTTATTCCTCTTACCTTCAATCTGTCCTGTTAGTATCAGATTTTCCAAGCCCCCCCCCCGACTCCTCATTACATACCCTACAAATTTCAACTGTCTATTTCTAAAATCTCAACTCTTGGCTTCTAATATTAACTAAAAGTTTCCTTTTTACTTTCATTTTCTTTAAAACCTCGTCCATACTCATGTGCTCGGTCGTCAGCATCTTTCTGTAGAACCACATTTCTGTTACTTCAAGTCTCTTATTCATCTCTGAAGAGATTGTCTAGAATTCACTAGTCCTACCTAAACATATAAAATTAAATCAGTGTTCCTCAAACTTCTTGCAATTCAGGGCGCACTTATAGAATAACTAAACCACTGGGGAGAAATTACTTAGCATCATCTACCGCAAGGAACGTTGGTTCTCTGTGTCGTGCCAGAAAGTAATTCTTGTCTGAGTCCATCCTTCAAATCTATAAATCAACCATCCGTCCTAGCATGGAAAATTGCTTCCATTTATGATCTGGTGTCCCGCTGTACGTCTCGAGGTCCTTGACAAAATCCTGAGACGAATATGCAAGATGATAGGCCCTGATCTGGCATCTAGTCTAGAATCGCAGTCCCACAGACGTGCTGAGGCTTCCCTCTGTCTCTTCTACAAATATTTTCACGGCAACTTTACCGACGAGCTACTGTCTCTAGTTCCCAGCCTTTATGGATTTAAACCTGCTACTAGTCTAGCATCTCGGACTCCCCCTTTCACTGTCAAAACGGTTAAATGTAAATGTATCTTCTCAAATAGCTTATTCTCCTACACTTTCCGTCTGGAGAAAACGCTTCCCCTTACTTTGTTCCCCGATGACTATGATTTTCAAATATTCAAGTGTAATGTCAATCGACATCTGACACCCTAAACTTTTTCTCCGTACTCCTCTGTATGCTTTCCTCAAATACGGCTCTTTACACTTGTTCTCAATCTTCTGTAACCCATTGCGTGCTAGTGGCACTCCCGCCTTGCTTGGGGGGATTTGCCTTAAAAAAAAAATTATGAAAATATTAAGTTTTGGTTTAGGTTTCTCAAATGTTAATGGTATAGTTTTCGTTTAAAGGAACTTATGAAAAAGCTGCTACTTTTCAAGAGAAGCCGACAGGCTGATTTAAGTCCCTTAAGGAAGGCAATCGGGAAAGGATTATCCATTCCTTCTTAAAGATTAAGGAACTTATCATCCAGTTTAAAATATCGAATTGCGAAGTCTAGACTTAAACATGGAAGCCATGTTCGTAGTGTCTGCAGCTTTTTAAGAATACAATTTTTGAAATATAAAAATATTTCATAAATTTCTCATCTATTAACTTGGCGCGCACGTGGTTACCTTTGAGTGTGCATATGTGCTCCCTAGCCTACCCGTTGAGAAATGTTGTTTTAAATCAGTAGTTCCCACATTTTTTTTTCTCTGAGCCGGATTTTCCGTATTAAAATTAACGCCTCACCAAATTTCATATGATAATGAGTACATTAAAATAGACAAAAAAAAGAAACAATGAGAGAGGGTTAAAAGGAGAAGTCAGAACATTATTATTGATAACTCTCTCCTGCAATTTGCGGACCTTAATTACTACATTCTTATAATATAATGCAAAAAATATCACAATGACAAAATCAATCAATAATTGTTTATAACTATTTATACTGAGACTCATGCATACAGTTAAAAGTAATCCATAATATTATTTTAAATTTTGATGTCATTTATTTTCGGTATATGAATTTTTGGAACTGTTTCTAAATCTTTGATTGTCTTTCAATCATTCCGCCTCAGCTGCTATTCTCTTCCACCTCACCTATGAGGCGCGTCGCACCTTTTGGGAACCACAGATTTAAATAATCGTAGTTTTCAAACTTTTATTTCAGTTTTGGTTCAATTCTCATATCAAATCTAGAGGAAAATTCAATTAGGTATTAAGCATATTTTTTCAGCAGAACTTACTCTAGTTTATTGTGCTATTCTTCTTCTTCTTCTTCTTCTTCTTCTTCTTCTTCTTCTTATTATTATTATTATTATTATTATTATTATTATTGCACTCACTGAGATTTTACACATACAGTAACATTTGCACTACATTAAAGGTTGACTGACAGTAAATATTCATAATATGTCGACACTCTAGTAGTCTATTTTAAAAAAAAAAATATTGCAGTTATCTGAATTTTATCGACGCTTACACTTAGTTTCATTTTCTATAATGCTTAAGTTAATAATGTCTGGATCGTCCCTAACGCTCGGATAATAATTGGCACCCGTATCCTTAGTTCCTATTATTATTATTATTATTATTATTATTATTATTATTATTATTTCAGAGTTACAAAAGCAATTAGAAATTCGGTCGCTTAATACGAAAAGGGAAGCGGCGGCGGCCGCTCATAATAGCAACAAAATTCGAGCGCAATAAGGCGAGGCCATTTTTAGGGATAGTAAAATAAAATTCTATAGATGAAAATAGGGGCTTTGTTTTCTGTCGTCTGATGGTGGTTGAATGACGGCAAACGATAATTTTTTTTTTTGTAGCTGAAGATGAGAGAAATGGGAAAGAAGCAAATTTGGCGGCTACTGCCTCTGTTATTGCCGTTCAGTTCTGGTGCGGCAGCTGCAAGTCGAGTTGCAACATTCTCTTCTCCTACTCTTACTCCTCCTCCACCACCACCACGAACAACAGTCTCAATCATACGTCAGCGAAAGAAATAGATGCCAAAATATATCCATCCATTTCTTTATCCAACAAATATTAAATAGTATCCTCTCGTAGCTTGAATTCCACTCATTTCTTCGTCTCCTTCTTCTTCTTTATTCTGTTCCTCTCTTGCTCTTTCTTCTACCTTCTTCTTCTTCTTCTTCTTCTTCTTCTTCTTCTTCTTCTTCTTCTTCTTCTTCGCTACACCCTCACCTCCTTCTCCTCTTTCACCTACTCCACTTTATTCGTCTTATTTTACCCTGACTCTTGCTCTGCCTTCTTTATTGTCTCTCCTCCATTTTTTTTTTCTTCATCACCTCCTCACTTCCTTCCCTTCCTCCACCTTCTTCTTCTTCTTTTTCTTTTTCTTCTTCTTCTTCTTCTTGGTGTATGTTTTTACAAAATACAATTTTATTGTTATTTCATTTCTATTCATATTTTCTTCTTTCTCTCTACCGTTTTATGCCGTCACTGTTTCGTATTTATTTTCTATCCGTCTCTTTCCTTTCTTGTCGGCATCTCCGAGAGTGGATCCGTAAATCTGTAGCCTGTCATGGTTTGTTATCTAAAACTTAACCTAAAAGGTTCCCTACATAATGATCAAGGAGATTATGTTGAAAAATAAATATATGTGCTATAAAATCAATGCTTTCTTTGTTTTTCATTAAACTGCACATTATATTAGTATAATAAAAGTCTATTACCCAACTTTTTCTTCTTTTTGAAAATTCATTAAACTTCACTCAGTGCGCGACGATAGTTTTTTTTTTTTTTTTTAAGGATATTGAATAGAGTGAGATTATTATTAGTTCTAATTTTTCGAGTTGATCGTGGAAGGGATTAACTGCTTTAAAATTCGGCATTCAACTTCCCTGCTTTTATCTCAGATTGAACACCGGACTCAGTTGTTTGTAATACGTCATTACCCAAACTATGATTTATTTACATTTAGTTTTTGTTTTCTTTTTCCTCTTCTCAACTCATTCTTTGAATTTCGGTCTTTCTTTTTGCTTATTCTTTTTTTGTTTTTTCATGTTTTGAATTTTTTTCTTTCATTTCTTTACTCTTTCACCTTTTTAATTTAAAAAAAAAAACTTTTCTCTTGTTTTTTTCTTTTTATTCTCGTTCGTTTTTTATTCATCTTTTCCTCATCCTTATCCAAAAATGCATTCTTTTTTTATTACTTTTTTCTAATTCATTCCATTAAAATATTGTCCGTTATATTTATTTCTTTTTTTTAATATTTCTTCAATTTTCTTCGTCTTTTTTTTTTTTTTGGCTGACATTATATATTTTATTCCTTTACTTTTCTTTTCCTTAAATATATATTTTTCTTTCTTTCTTTTTTCATACATATATTTCTTAATACTTTTTGCTCATCTTTCTCTCTAATCTTTCATAATTTTCTTAATATTACACTCTTTCTTTTAGCTTCTCTTTTTCTCTCTCCCCTCACCTGTTATTTTTCTTTGTTTTCTGTTACTACAACATCTTAACCAGTTCGTTCTTTTCTTTGGGAATCCTTTCCTTCCTTTTTACTTTGATTTCTTTTCGAATTCCTTCTCTCTTCCATTCTTTTATGATCCATTCTTACTGTTTTTCATTTGATAAATAATTCATTCATTTATTTAATGCTCGTTTTTCGTTCTTTTTCTTTATTTTAGAATCCTTATGAACTTTTCTTTTTTTACTGCATTCGTGTTTATTTCTTTGTTTCCTTCGACATTTCATTAATTCTTTCCTTTATTCCTGTCTTCTTTCTTTCTTTCTTTATTTCTTTCTTTTTTGTCCACTTTAAATAATTTCAACATTCTTCTGATTATTTTTGTTTGCTTTCATTCCTTTTCTTTCTTTCTTTCTTTCTTTCTTTCTTTCTTTCTTCATTCATTTATTCATTAATTTATTTATTCTCAAAAAATAATTTAGTATTTTCCATACCCGTATTTGTCTATCTTTCTCTCAAGAATTCTTTACTTTCGTTTATTTTAAACTTGCTTCCTTCTTTTCTATCGCCTTTTGACTATATCTCGCCAATAAAACAATATTTTTTAAAAAAAAGGCGGAAGATGAATGTTAAGCGAGAATTGAACGAAAAGCACAACCAACTGTCAGTGAGGAGTGTCACTCGAGTGAGAGAAAGAAAAGAGGAAAGTGAAGCAAATACAGGGGAGAGGAACGTACATCATTCTAGATACAATGGCGAGTATTTCTAAAATGGCAGCATCTAATGAATATTCATATGTCACCTGCTACATACAATGACATTGAATAGCGCGTAATGCCTGAAGAGAACGAAGTTCGGGGTTCCAACCCTAGTTAACGCTGCTCCATTTTAACACCCTAAAAATTAATAGCAATGATGAAAAAAAAGAATTCTTTAAAAAGCAAACACGAATAAAGCCGTTACTCTAACAGTTGATAAAATTATATTGTGTCTACTTTAATCTCTTGTCTAAATATAGAAAGCCTGGCACACAACGAGAGATGACAATTTATCCGGATGAAGATGTAGACTCCTTAAACTATTACGTATGTTTGTTTTCTAAATAATACCTAGAAAGTCGGAGAAATATCTGAAAAATACTATATGAGCATGGTAGGGATATTATTGCATTTAATCTCACCGCTTGTTCACCGTTACACCCCTCATCAAAGTTTCGATCAAATAAATGTCAGTACAATTAAAAGAGAAAATAATTAACTAAGAAGAAAATGTATAAAAGTAAAATACAATAGGAAAACTGTATTATAAGCCGACGCGTTTCGTCCATTGTGGACTTTTTCAATGCAAACAAGAAATGAATTTATTAAAAACAAAGTAACTATTAACAACAAAAAAAATGACCGAAGCAATTACAAGAATTTAGAAAAACGCAATTGTATTCATATTGTCAACTAAAAATTACGTCAAGTACTGTCACGTGTAGAAATATTTTTTTTGGTTGTGTTGACGGATTCAAAATTTTTCTTTTGATTTCTTGATACACTTGTGTACGTTTTCTTGGGAGAGTAGTAGTTCTGTTAGGAAAGGTGATATAGGGAAAAGGCCCGGGTGTAGATTAATATTCGGATAATATTCAATGGCGGCACTCTCGAGGATTTCACGTTTGAGTGAGTTATTTTCTTTTTCATGTGTAGCATTTTTAAAATCAAAATTGTGGTTAAATTTTTTTCTATGTATGACTAGTGCATAAGAAGAAAATTCATTTAAGGTTAGTATTATAGTGATGAAGGAAATAGGAATTTTACAAGCGTCGTTTAGATGTGGCACAAGGCCGAAAGAAGGAGGCACTCGGTGAGGATCGGACTCACTACTCAGTCGTAATTGTTCTAACAAGACAAGCTTGGTAACCATTACACTGCCTCGAGGTGCCCAAATGATGAAGGAAATATCCTCTTCAGAGTCTGATCTACAAAGCATTGTTTTGAGGGGAGAAGGTGCTCGAGTGGAAATTACATCTCACTAATGGAATAGGAAAGTTGTAGGGGTAGTTCGCTGCAATGGGCGTGGCAGGTCTTACCTACAAAGGTCAGAATTGGTGGACCTAAAGAATGTAGATCATCTGAACACTTTCCATGGAAATAGCGATAGAATAGCGAGATGCTTGCAATATTTCGTTTGTGGGAAAGAGGACGTAGGATGGAAAATCTTTAATCCACCAAAAGGCGGCGGAGATTTTTTTGGCACTCTATTTTCGCGAGATAGTGTATAAGGTATTCTTTCTAAAGATACCTTTTCTAACAGCTGGTAATCATATTCGAACGAAATTATTGATCAAGTGCTGCCGATCATGCTATCGCATGTGCGCATATGACAAAAAGTATTTCGCGTCCAACATCTATCTACAGATGAAAGCTCGCTATCATTAAACTGTGAGACTTTCATCGGCAGTCAGATGCGAATCTACGTCACATGTCATCGAGCCACCTGGAATGAATCAGACCCGTGTTTCCTCTGATCATTCGCTCATGCTAAATATACAATACCCAGTTCAATGGAAAACATGGCAGTTATCTTGGGCCAACTGGAAACCAGCAAGGTCTCCTGGAGACGGTGTGAAAGCATGTTCTCATGGGAGCAGTGTTATATTTAACATTTGACGTAATGGTCGTAGAGTAACTGCTGTAATTCCCTATGTATAATACGCATTTTTTTCTAAAAATTAATAATCAAAATCAGGGGTGCGTATTATGCACTGCTACAAAAATCTTTAAAACATTGCCGTAAAATAAATAAGAATTATCATAAATTCGAATAAAATTATTCTATATTTAAAGTTATTTTTTTTAAACACGAGTAAGAAATTCTAGCCGTAATGAAATTGGAGAGGTACAATTTATAGGGTTTGATTACCCAACAAGGGTGCGTATTATGCATGAGTAGAAGCATTTTTCCACACTTTCAGCACAATTTTAGGTATGCGTATTATGAAAGCGTATTATACATGGGGAATTACGATAATACAGTGATTTTCGAAGTGGAGCTCAGATGTGGCATAAGGCTAAAGTATGGGGTACCCAGTGAGGATCGAACTCACTACTCACTCATAATTGTGCTAGCAAGTCAAGTTTGCTAACGATTACACCACATCGAGGTGCTCATTACGATAATATATCAAGGAAGAGAGAATATATATGCATCATTTCAAATACTGGTTCTCGTCTTTCTTGATATAGATGTTATCCTAGACACAATGTTTCGACTATATACCCTCTGGTTATTATCAGGGCTCGACTGATTGGTTAATACGGTATATTATTGTGATATTTTATCCTTGTGATATCAGTTATTGTTCGTTCCTGCTGAATCGATTCTTCACTACCTGATCCAGAGACTGAACTCGCGATCACTAAATGACAGTAAACACACGTATAATCAACTCCTACATGCACTCCGATATGTCACGAAGGGCATTACTAGTGCGTTTTTGGAGTTTTTATATCTATTGTCAGGTTGTTTTTGGCATTTAGCTATGGTAGCTTTCTAAGCGTAACTTGTCCGACAACGCCGGAAATATGGACCCCTCAGTGAGGATTGAACTCACTATTCAATTGTAAGTGATCTAACAAAACAACCTTGTTAAACATTGAACAAATGTACCACGCCAAAGTGTCCAACATTTGGTTGTGATTGCGTGTTATTAAGATACATTTAGGGCAACAAAAATGAAAACCTTTCAATTTAAATCTACTCGAATCTGTGTCTTCATTTTTTCTATTGGTAATGTATATATAGCTGGCCACTCGTATGCGACGATACCCGTCTCGTAGGGCGACTAGCCAATCCCTATTGTAGACGCTTGCTCAGGCGCATTTTTGTTTATTCAACAACCACAGAGCCTACCTGTGGTTTATACTGCAACTATCCTGAGCAGACATTAGTTACAGTTTCTGGGAAAGAGCGTGTTACCTAGCGTGAAATAAAATTTGAACAAGGCTAGCACGCTCAACCGCTCGACCACAATGACTTGTGACTTCGTGGTAGCACAGCTATTGACGGCCCCCAAGGGTTCCGTCTACCCAATTTCACTCACAAGTCTTGGGTCAACCCGTGGTATTCAGGCACTTTCCAAAATCGCCGCACACAGGGATCAACCCCTCCAGTCCGATAACCTCTAGAAGTCTAGTGAGATTCGGTTCTCTCTCTCTTGGTCAGAATGCAAACGTTCTAACCAGTACACCACGTGTTGGTAATGTAGGATTGTGTTGAATTGTTTAAAATGCCATTTTCATAATTTCGAGGCGACACGTGTCAACGATTGACGTATTTAAATTTTGGTTGATTGTAGTTGTAAGTAAAGCTAAACGTCGAAAGGTGCGATTCGCCAGAGTTGAAGATATTTGAATAGAATTTAAGTTTACTTTTAGAAATTTCAGCAAGAAATTGATGAGATCTAGTCTCCAATCTAGTATTACGCTTAAATTCTTGAAATTAAGGTACCAAAGAGTAATGGTCAGCAGCAGAATTACCATGGAAATAAATATAAACAAGTCATAGAGAAGATACATGACAGCTATGGGGAATGTAAATGGATTCAAAATGTCAAATACTTTTTTGGGATGTTATCAAGAATATCTACACGCATGTTATATATCTAGACTTAGTCTGGTGATCCTGCCGTATATCTAACGATTCTTGAAAAATTCCAAAATAATCGATCTTCGCCATCTCAATATCAATCAATATCTAACCGACGTGATGCGGACTCCCACTCGGTTTTCTACAAATATTTTCATCGCAACTGTTTTTTCCCACTTTGTGCCTTGACTACGTGAATTTAATCGTGCAACTAGATTGTCAGTTAGGTCTCACCTTTTTACTGCCGAACTGGCAAGATGCGACCGCCACTTTCACTCTATCTCTTTTCTCGCATTTCACAATGGTGGAACTCTCTCTCTCAATTTTTTGCTTCCCTCATAACTTCCAATCTTCAACAATTTAAATGGAATATAAATCGCCATCTTCTGTTTAATTGAAATTTGTTCCTTTTCTTGTTTTTTCTTTCTTCGATTCTCCCCACTCCAAGTCTTCGCATTCTCTTTAATTTTCAGTATTTTCTGGGTCACCCTGTCGACAAGCTTAACTCTATTCTTATTGTCTTTCCCTT